TCACCCAAGATAGCAGGGCCTGGAAGTTTTATACGGTAGATATCCTAAGAGAAGAAAACAAAACAAGTTTTAGAATGCATAGTTTATATCCATTCCATTCATTAAAAAATAATCAAAATAACCATTCAAAAAAAAAACTATACTTTTATTTTGATAAGGTAATTAATTTTATTTTATTAACAGTTGGGGAAAACCAAGCCGTATACCAAAAAAAGAGAACCTACACCAAAATATGGTTCTCAACAAAAGAGGCCCAATCCTCTATACCTCATGAGTACACCAAAAAGAAACTAGGGAAAAAAAACTGCTTTGCAACTTTACAAAAGTTTGTTCCACCCCATCAAATGCCCTCCTATTTCTCTCTTTCCAAATAACCCACATGATTGCTACAAGGACAACATTCCATGCCCTTGAACTTGCCTTCCCCCTACTATGGGGCCAACTGTGCAACACCTCCTTCACAGTGCCCGGCATCACCCATTGCACCCCAAACAAAATAAGGACCGCTCTCCACAAACAATTAGCCGCTTGACAGTGCAATAGGAGATGATCCACATCTTCGCCCGAGCTTTTGCATGAAACACCAACTAACATAGGTGAGGTGATCCCTTCCATTTCTCAAATTTTCCGCTGTCAAAATCACTCCCCTCGCCGCCAACCATGCAAAGAAACACACATTTCTCGGTGCTCTAAGAATCCAAATAGAGTAGTGAGGAAAAATATGTTCCTCTCTGTAATAAGCTCTTATAAAACGACTTAACAGTGAATAATCCATTCTTAGTCTCTCACCATCTCTATGTATAAAATAAGTTGTTCAGTGCGTCCAGCTCATACAGAATCTCCACCAGATTGTAAAATTCATCCATCTCACAATCTTGTAGGTTCCTCCTGAATCTCAAACCCCCCCAAAACACTATACTTTTCTGACTACTCCAAATAATGTCTAGATTGCTTTGTAAATTGTATTAAAAAAACTGCCTTCTATTTCCAAGAAACATTCAAAAAAGTTCCCATGTAGTCAAGTTGTGATTAGTGATGTCAACAACTTGAAATGATGCCTCCTGTGAAATCAAAGCAATTTGGTGCCTCCCAATAAGAGAATTTTGGCATGACAAGGGCTTCAAATGTGGTGAAAATGGAATAGCATTTAATAAGCTCCTCAGTCCTCATATCTTGTCTTTTATCCCATCAAAAGAAACATATGTGATAATAGTGACAAAAGATTATTTCAGACTTCTCTTACCTGATCCAAGTTTTGACCGGGCTCGGAAGAATTTGAAATGGCAGCTTTGGCAAGGGTGGAATAGTAGACCTTTGGATTAACTTTCTTGGACCTGTCTTTGCTTGGTTCTTCAATTTCATCAATATAAGCAACACGCATGGATGGGTACCTATTAACCGAAATATATAGATGTTAGCACATTGCATTATCAGGTGGACAAACTAAAAAAAATGACACATACGTTGTCATAAGCCGGAGAATATCTTGTGCACGTTGATCACCAGATCGCTTTTGTATACCATATAGCTGGCATGAGACAACATATGTGAATTTCATATCAGCCACTGCTTGACATTGTGCCCAAAGAGACCTCTCTCCCTTCATCTGATCCTCGTTTAACTCAATAGCCTTATACCCCTCCAACAAATCTGTTCAACATAGAAAAAGTTTAACTTATAAATTCAGGTTAAACGGCAACTAGGATTTTATATGTAACTCAAGGATTCTGAGATACTAGTCAATTACCATCATCCTGGGCCATATCAAGGAAAGATTGAAGTTCCAGAGCTCTGCGGTAATACATCATCCCTCTCACTAGAAATTAAACAACACATTAATCCATCAAATGTATGAACAAATTGTAAAGGAGTCTTACTAGAAATTGTTAGACTGAAAGTTTAGGCAGAATGGGGAGAGGATTTAAGAGGGGAGGGGGTAAGATAGAAAATATTGCAAAATTAACTACGAGATCTCTTTTATCCTCTTGTGCACTCATCAAAGATCAACTCCATACCTGTCCTTGTTAAAGTCTGCCCTCTATATGAAGCCCAATGTCGGAGTTTTTCTTCTAAATCAGGAGACCATTTAAACCTGAGGTCGTCTTCACTGGTACAGTCCACACGCTGAATGAAATTGAGCCATTCATCTGTATGCCACCATTACAAGTTCAGTGAAAAAAACAGAGAAAGAACCAGAAAAGGAGAAAAAAATTATTAGCAGTTGATCATGTGATTAACACCAAAAAACTAAATAAATCAAGTCAACAAGCAAACCTGGATAAATTTTCTGCAAATAGAACAGAATGGAAACACCATCTTCATTTTCTTTATCCAAATCATCTGATGAGAAAAGGACCTCTTCCGTGTAGTATGGGGTCAAGACACTAAAGTAAGAAAGATCAAGAAACAAGTCACCTACCTCTTCTAGTATATAAAATCTCTAAAACAATTCAACCATATTCCATAATCCATGTTTTAAGTAAATTTGGATAAGCTACACATACTTACATTTAATGTTGTATCCTACTAGAATTATCCAACAATTGCTTGTTCTCCAGTTCTATACTGTTTCTTGTTGCTTATTCATAAAAATGTTCCGAGATTGCTTTCATTCATTAAGACATTTAGTGGGTAATACTATATTGATCCTTTAGTTCATGCTGTGTAAACTTCAGGCTTTAAATTAATATTCATTTTTTTTAGGGAAAAGGGCCAATTTAGCCCCTAACTATTCGAAATGGACAACTATGTCCTTCATTTCGTTCTTGTCCTACAAGTGCCCTCGTCGTCAGCCAAGTTGCTCAAAAATGCCCTCCCACTAAAATTTTGTTGATTAGGAGCTGGGTTTCTGAATTGGATAGAAAAATGTTACTGATTTTTCTAAGTTTTATTTGATTTTTTCTCAAAATTTGCTCATAACTTCACTTACGAGAAAGAAAGCATGTTTCGGACTTTCGGTGCTGTGGGCATTTCCATGAACAATGAATTGGAGAAAAAGGATATTCGCCTCCTAGCTTCTAAGTTGGACGGTACATCCATTGCCGACTCCTTTACTGTAAGCAGCAAGTACAACCTTTTGATCTGTGGAAAATTGAAAACAGTTACAAAAAGAAAATGAACTATAATAACAAATATATCTCCGTCAACTTGACCTACTTTCTCTTTCCAAGCTTCTGATTCAGGAGTAGGAAATTTGATAGCTCCAGCTGAAGCAAATAACTGATATTGCTGATCAAGAGGAACCGTTCCTTCATATCCTGAGACTCCATGGATGGAATCTACCAAGCTGCTTGGTTGAAAAGAAAAAAGTTCAAACAAAATTTATTTGTCACATTCACGAATAACGTGGAAGTTTAGCAATTATAGGCAAGAGAAAAACCTTGATACATGATCTTCCATCATTATATCTCGCGTAACAACTTCTAACATGTCCTGGAATAGAAGTACAACTTGATCCCTGTCCTCCTGCCTATTGTCTAGCTGTAAAAACAAAACAAAAAAATCAGTTTTAATTCAATTTCCCGATTTATCAGTAAGATAAGTTGGATGGCTAGAAATATCTATAAAAGTGACTATGAAAAGAATACAACGAGAATGGACTTGGAAAACCTACCAAGTACTTGATAAGCTTAACAAACAGCTCATATAGACTGGGAAGAGCACTCATCTTGAGTTCACTAGTTAAATCACCAGCCTCAATATGCTTGTCAACTTCTGAAAAGATATACTCTATAACCCTGAATAACAACACACAGAGAGAATTTACAAGTGAGGAAAGCTATCGGAGCAAAGGAATGGCAGAATAAGTCACTATGATCTGGCAGAAACTTACTCCTTCTCACGATGGCCAGAAACCAAAACTTTTATTACATTGCGAAATGAAGCATAGCACTCACAAACAGCAGATGACATATAAGGGTCAGCCTCTATCCTCTTTTTCAGCTCACGGTCCTTTCCATTGCTATCCTTAGCCATATCCACTGCTATTGGAATCTATTCATACAATTTGAATGAGTCAGAAATCAAGTGAATAAAAAGGAAGATCAGCTACTGATTGTTGAATGAGGGTATGAAGAATCAAAAATAGTTAATCCAATAATATCTCAATATGAAAAAAACTAAATATATAGGATTTTGTCAAATGCCATTGTGAAATAAGTCTCGTTTAGTGCCAAACTACATAACAAAATCTTTTACCAATGCAGCAAGTTTGAGACCAAAAATAAAACAAAAATGAAAAAGTCATAACCTTGCTAGCAAGCAAAAATGGCGGCCACTGCACGAGATCCAACTCACGATCAGCCCAATAAGGAACAAGCAAAAGGTCCATCTCACTGAAAACGAATGCAAAGCATAACAGTAGTAAGTAAATGCATAACTTTGATTACACACCCAAATGAGGGCGACGGAATGGAAAAATCATGCGTGTAACATTTCAAATTACCGATTGCTAATAAGATCTTCCTCCCTAAAACTTGTTATTATTTTATTCCACAACTGAGCAAACCTTGCAGCTTCCTTTTCCTTGTTGGATGGCACCTAATAACCGATCACATGTATACAAAGTTCAAGTTAACTTCCTGATCACTTCCTTTTTAATTTTGTTCCATGCTAAAATAAATCCAGATATTCGATATTGCAGACCAAAACGTGGAAGAAACCTAACCCTGTTGAACTTTCGGGAAAATGTTGCTTTTAGTCCTTTCTTTTTTGGTTGGTCGCCCTTTTCCTCCGGTATCAAACAGGCATTAAAAGCACTTGGCAAAGACTGGAACCTGGACCTCAGCATTCCTAAGGTTCGAATCTGAAAGCAAGACAAAAAATTAGAGTTCAATAAAAAGCACACCTAGCTCTATTAGCTTATCATCTTATTTTGTTAGAATTTGCAGAAGCAGCTTATACTTATAGACTAAGCAATCTATATTATGTTCATTTTTTAAATTATAATCAAAGATAACTTAAGACAAAAGACCACAGAAATGAAGCAGTTAGCCACCAACCTCTCCAAGCCTACGAAATGCTCCATAAATACCACCGAATAGTGTGGAGAAAATGGCATACCATATCTGAGCATCCATGAAATAAACCTACAATGAAGTAAATCCAACCAGTGCATTAGCTTAAACTGGAATAAACTACTAGTGATTACACCATGCCTCTGTTAAAGATTATCCGAACGAAGGAGGAGAATCGTACAAGGATAACTGGAGCCCAAAGAGCGATAACAACACCAATGTTGCTGCTTGCTGCAAATCAAAATAGCCATGTCAGGACCACGAGCAGAAGGGCATAATATCAAAAGGCTCAAAGTTCAAGTCAAGTTCATTACCGTGGGGAAAAAACTCATGCCATTGATAAGTGGTAATGTGGACATTCATAATCTTTTTTGTTGGATCCACTAAAGGCTTTATCTGCAGCAAACAACTTTTCATTGTCAATATAATTCGTAAAGCAGGCAACTTCTGTGAATATACAAAATATTGATGTGTGCTTAACAAAAGAAAGTCAAATACCAATTCATAAAACACTATAGTAGGACAAAAGTGTCTCCAGAGTAAGAGTGTAAGACAATAGCAGCTATTGGCTAGCACGTAAAAAACTGATGCATATTACAACTCAATCTTCTAATATGAAAGTGACATTGTCCTACCTAGAACCTAAAACATCTAACGAATTAATAAATAAAACAATGTGCTTCTAAATTATATGGCTTGCTTTTGACAAACTAAAAGGTAAGAGCTGGCAACAGAAGAGGAATTACCTCTACATAAAAACTGAATGCTAGTTTTGTCGCAATTAAAAGTACCCAGAACATAGTGTATCTGAAATTTAGAATAAAAATTAGTAGACCCATCGACATGAAAGTTAAAATGCTTCGACTTAGTGACGTCTTACTTGAACAAAGAAAAAGTGCTCTCATGCATTCCCCTACCAACATAAAGCCGAGGCTGCAATTGACAATAAAAGCCGTATCAGATTTCTAAACAGAACAATAAGTGCTCTTAAAAATGTACAAATGAGTCAAAAAAAAAACATGTACCTGTGACCACCACATCATCAGCATCACAATTTTGTAGTGTGATCTCTCTAGGAATCGACGGACGAAGGGAAAAAGAAAGAGCAGAGCAGCGAGCATATTGGGCGACAAGTAGATAACCACAGCCAGTATAAATAGTGAAGGAGAATTTGAGTTGTTGCCAAACCAATTTTTAATGGTTTGGGCAAATGAAGGAGGATTTTCCCATGTATAAGCATATGTAACAGGTAAAATGACCACCCAAGCAGCTGCGGATATGACCTTCAATATGTATCGTAGTTTAACATAGAATGACATGCTGTGCCTAGCTTTCCAATTAAGAACCACATCAAGAGCGGCTGCAACAATTATAAGGTAAGTTATTATGTAAAAATAGTGCCGCAACAAATATCAGAGCACTGCTCTAGGGATCGCCAAAAACAATAACCATCCACATAAACAAATAACTTTTTGGTGAGACTTTTTACCATTCACAACTGCCTGTGTGCAATCAAACCATATTTGTATGGATTAATACACATTTCACTGGAGGAAATATCTTTTTGCAGAGCATCAAATGCTAAATAACTTTTTTTAATAATGGCGTTGTGCTGGGTACTTTTTACCTCCACTAACACAGCTAGCAAATACGCTTAAGCAAATAGAAAGAATTCACCTATTGTCGCATCTAAATAACTTTTATCATAAATTCTGTTCAACAAATTGTTGCTAGTAGCTCATGGTATTTTAGCTTAACCAAAAAAACACTTAAGCTTTTGTCTCAAAAGTACAAAGAAAAATAATCCTTCATTTATATCCAATTACTTGCTGGAAACTTCCAATTTTATCATCCATAAAAATTGCACCAATCATGTAGAAAAATATTAGTGCAGTAAGATGGGACAGAAGGTAGCAAACTTTGAAAGAGCTTCAATTATAATATAGTTTGCTATGCTGCAGAAAAGAGAAATGAATTTTACAAACCTTGCCCAAGCTTCAAAACTGCAGCTGTTATAAACACACTCAATACTTTCTTGAAAACATCTGAAGTGAAAACCATGCTCAGCTCTCCTGAACCATTCCAAGCAATAATTATCATTGCCTACACACAATCAACAATACCTTGTCAAATTATAATTGTCAAGTACATAAAGATAATGGACAACCTAGCCACGGTCACAAAAAGAAGAAAGTACCTGTAAGCACAATATGAAGAAGCTCCACATTCTGTCAAAGCTCCTAAAGATATGCAAATATGATCGTATCTCAACGAAATTAACTTTCCCCACCCAGCGATCTCTAGAAGGCTTGTTTTCCTGGAATTCACAATTAACTTAATATAATTAGTTCATGAGTTTATATCATCAGGGATAAAGTTCTATTGAACTTCCGAAAAACAGCGGATAGTCTGATGCATTAATCACGTAAGCTTATGGCATAGAGCACAATGACATTGGTACTGTAACACCATATATTAAAGAAAATTACAATTTCATAGGGATGGAGGCATGAAATGCTAAATAAATTGACAATGCTCGAAAACAGTGAAATGCACATAACATGGTGTTATTAAGATGACTTCTGCCGCTAAAACATTACCCCATTTCTCTCAGCACGAAGTTCTTCCACAGGGAGGCAAAAGAAATCAGCATCAGCGCGCATGGGCCAACCTAACCTGAAGCAGTCCACTGACCTACAGTTGTATGCGTAAAGTCAGAAATGAACAAACTATTGAATAACTGAACCAGGAAAAAAAACAGAAAACGGAAAGGTTGACTACCAAAAGTATTCATTTAAATCATCATAGTTCCTCCACTGGGAATGCTTTGCTTTTCCTCTTCTGCTCCTAGCAGCTTCCTGAAAATGACAGAAAAGGGCATAAAAAGAATTTCCCTCACGTTCTAAAGAAAGGTAAAAATACCAAAACTGGTTCTTTTTAATACAATAGATTGAAGAGGAACAGATAGCTTTGAAATGCATCTAATACCCGTGCAATCACTTCATAAATAGGAGTAACAACTTTTCTCAAGAAAGCTTCCTCTTCCCCTCCATAAGCTGGCTTAACATTTTCACCCGTCATGGGACTAACATTGCCAGCTAGCATGCCATAGAGTTCAAATGCCATCTATATGAGAAACCAATGTGTGAGATCCAAATGCTTTAACGTAACAAGAAATATCTGAAGCATATTATAAAAGGCAAATTGTAACAAAAATATAAACAATTGACAAAAGCAGCTGAGAAGCTGGCAGATAAATGCAACATACGGTGTTGACGAAAATGAAATGTACCATGGTAATCTTATTTAACCCTCTTGACAAGTAGAGTAGCTAGTTTATGAAATTATACTCTCTTCTCGATTTACAATTATTAATAAATCTTTTTTGTCAACCTTGTGTGTTACTCATATAACAAAGCAGCAACCTTCCACACCACCAGAAAGTAAGAAAACTCCTCGAACTGTTAGCAGAAGAAAGTATTAACATGTGAGAACAATTTGATGAAAGCTATCGCCGTGTAAGTATGAGCGCTTTACAGCTTTGCTCTCATCCAAAATCCAGCAACAAAGAACCCACTAATTACATCAATGTCGACTTCTGCATTTTTATTTGTGATAAATTCAAAAAATAAGATAAGAAAAAGAATCTATATGTTCTTCAAAAATTGTTCAGATTTCGAGAAACATTAAAAACAATCCACTAAGTTCTGAAAACATAAGCACTTTTAAAAGCATACATGATGGTAAGTGTAGCATAGGCATTCTGGCATGAATCTTAAATTTGCTGCTTCCCCCCATATGAGAAGATACAATCCCATGTATAATAATTTACGCTGCTGTACTTCCTGTTGTATGGTTGGCAACCTACAATGTTGACAATTAGGAAAAGATCAACACATACAAGTGCAAGATGAGCTTAATTTGCAAAGCATTCGGCTCTTTGCTACAGACAAACACATCTACAAGAGATGCTAAAGGAAGCTACAGGCACATGTTATCCTGTTCTGAAGTACAAAGCATCAAAGATGCAGACTTTATTCTATCTACTTTGATAGACAACAATCAAGAAAAGATCTTGGATGAAAGTATGAGATATATTAGCTGTTTTCCTAAAAATCAGAATTTCACTTCAAGTGTTAACGTCTGAAGGCAGTAGGACATAACCATTTCAAAAATTTAAAGAGAAGCTCCTCACCATAAACTGCTTTTCCTGTCCAAATATTTGCACCATTTCTTGTAGTTTTTGAAAAGCTTCTTCATGACTTCATTCAAAGCACGCTCATCCAACTATGCAAAACAACACAATGAACAAGAAGAAAAAAACAGTATTGATAGGCAACTAGGGAAAACTGTAAGAGAGGGATTAAGCACATATTATCTGCAGTAACTTCTTGTAACTCTTGAAACCTCCCACCATGCACCAGTCAAAGCAGATCAATCAATCAAAAAATTTCAAAACACAAATTATCTCTTCATATTCTTGTTATGGAATCCGTCCTTTAACTCATTATATTAACATCTGCATCAGTAGAACATTTAACAATTCCATTTGCTGAGCATAAAGGATTGACTACACATTGGGATCATTGAATTACAGTTCTCATCCACTTTAATGCATGCTAGCATTAACTGCAGTGACCTATTGTTGTTCTTTTGAGGGTCAAAATAACATCAGGAAAGTAAAAAATCAAAAAAGCCAAATGAGGATACTGGTTTTGTTGAGAAGACTGTTCCTCCAAAAGTTCAAACATGGAAAATAGTACACGAAGTTCAAAATTTGCTAAATATGGCACTATGGGACTTGAGAAGCTGCGAGCAAGGAGACAAATACACATCAGATATCTACTTTCAATGTATTTATTTTTTTCAATATGAGGAAGACAGGTTTTTTTTCCTTTTATCAATCACATACATATTTCTTCAGCAAAACTAGAATCAGGTGCGGCAAAGAACATTTGTTGCAAAATAAGTATATAGCAAGTGGAAATAACTCTTTGAGCTTTAGTAGAAACATGCTACCAAATTAAACAGCAACCAAGTAGAAATGCACTCTTTGAGCTTTAGTGAATGTCGCAACTTAAAAATACATTGTGTTTTTTTAACAGTCTCAAAGTCCTCATTGAGAGTAACTATGCTAAACATCTAGTAGTCTCTAACTGTCAGCAAGCAAGCAGATTTAAACAATGCAATTAAATTCAAGACTCCTACTAAAGATTGAAGAATGGCAATCTTTCTTGACCAAGTACGTCAATCCTCTCAACTAAAAGCATATTTATCAGTTGAGGGAAAATTTTGTTCACTCATCAATAAAAGCAGTATCATGTCCCAAACCTTGGGTTGCTGGTCAGGCTTTGGATACTGGCGTATGTGTACATTTGCAAGTAGCAAAATGAGATGCTCCCTCTGATTTGCAACATTATCTTTCTGAGAAGCAATTGACAAAAAAAATGAGCTCAATAAAGCATATTGATTTGCATCCTAACTGAGATAATTTTTCTTCTAAACCTCAAAAGATGTATGAAATAGCATGAAAATAACACTGAGAATAAAAACGAATTGCTACCTGAAACCCAAACATTGCTTGAAGCCAATCGAGAATATCTTCATCTTTCTTCTTCTTGTAATCCTTGGGCCATGGAAGACCTCTTGTATTTCTGAGAGCGTAAACAGCAGCCTGAATCTGTAAAAGGAGGAAAGGAGAAGTTGTTAAAGCAATAAATGTGAAAAGGGAAATGCAAAGGTAAAGAAATGCTTATAGTTGGAAATCCTGTCTGCGAATACAAACCTCAGGAAATCTCATAATTGCCTGATTTACACTATCAGGATCCAAAGGAAGAATATTATAGGGGACTAAAATCTGTGTCTTCTCAGCAACTTTATCATGAGCTTCCAAAATCTGAGTAATGGACAATCAATAATCCACCACATACAAAGAAAACAATGTTATAAACAAGGAAAAGCATTAGAGTTATGGTAAGTCAAAGCAAGAGCTTGTAAAGTCAGCAGAAAAAGAAGGTTTAGCAACAATTTCGTTGAAAAATACTATCATTCTCACCTCACGGTCGACTTCTACTGCTTGCGTCTGGTTAACTGCTTTCAAAACCTCAAAGAGTACGTTTGCAGTTTGGTATGCCTTAGTAAGTTGTGCACTGGAATTTTTTTGAAAAGATGAGATAAACAACTTTCAGTATAACTAAAAGCGAGAAAGAGACCACTATGAGAAGGCACAACAAATCTCTAACAAGGGTGCAAAAGACCCACCGGTCTGCTTTCTCGGCAGCATTTTGCAAAGCTTGAATGTACTTTTTGTAGTAATGCTGGTAAAAGCTCTGCATTTCACGTGCATCACTTTTTTTAACCCTTCCAATCAAGGTTGGATCATTTTCCTGAAAAGTAAGTTTGTTACAGACTTACATGAATTACAAATGGGCACAAACATATCTCAAGTCTTATTAATGATCACTAACAAAGCAGAAAGCAAGAAATCGCACTGGGAAAGAAAGAATGAAAAGTAGTAATAGATAAGCAAATATTGGACAAGGAAAGAATGGTGATAGCCCTAAAATAATGGCACATGACCTTTTAAGTTGGACTTCCTAAGTAACATCTAAAGGGACGTTAGAAAATAAGTGTCTACAAGAGTAAACTGCTAACTCATAAGAACTTTAACGACATGGAACAAACGCATACAAAGAAAACCCACTACCACAAGCAAACTTCATAGGAGAAAGCAGGTTGAACAGAAAACATTGTCTTGAGCCAACCAACCATAAAAACATGTCATTGACATATTATTAGGGAAAGGAAAATCCATGCTTGGCCACTTACCCTTTCAAGCCGCTGCAGGAGGGACGTTTTAAACTGCCGAACACCACGTCCACTAGAAGTGGGATCTAACCGATGAGCTTTCTCAAAAGCATAAAACCGACCTACAACCAGAGTAATGAGTCTGAATGTTAGAATAGACAACTAGAAAGCATATCTAGGATCATGTCCATGCCCAGAATTTGACAATAACAAGATGAATAAGGTCACATTATCCGAATTAACTTGAAGTATTTTCCTCCTTAGAAGTTCGTAATTTGTAAAGCTTTACTCATACCAAATATTCTACCTACTGAAATATAACCACCTTCAACTTTAATTACAAATTACCTCTCATATTTCAACTACTATTTAGACATTTTACCCAACTCCAACATCTCGTATTAATGCTGATTAACAGCGGTTGCCTAATTTGAAGAAAAGAGTAAAAACAAAATGTCGATGCCATCCTAATCTAATTTGAAGCTTGGTTAGTGAGAACACTCATAAGGTAGTGTCGACGCTGCCTCCCCAAACCAAATCAACCAATTGAAGGCCAGAAATTCCATTCCCTGCTTCAAGTCCAAAACCTTATTTCATGTCCTAATCAACATAACCAATTAACTGCCTTGTTTCTTTTAATTTGACTGAGACCACCATAGGTAGCTCATTTTGAGTTTCCTTTGGCATCCCTAGGCCATGCGACTGTAACTCCTGAGCATTATCTTGAAATCAGTACATTTATAATCCTGAAATCACTTTGTCAAGAACTCTTGCTACACCATTCTGACCCATATTTTTGTTTAACATTATGCATATCCTAGGATATATATTGAGCATCTTTTACAGTTTCAGCAAAAAGATACCAGTAAATCTTCAACCCATCAGAAGAAAAGAACTACTTCTAAAAGCTAAAGCCATCAGAATTTACAAACAATTAACCTATTGAATTTAGGCTCTTAGCAACACCAGCCAATTGCCGCCTTTTATGAATCACCCCTACTACAGCACCATGGTAAGAAGACCTCATTAAAATTAATATTACATTCCAAACGTGGGAATATTATTAGACCTTAGTAGATGCAATCAAACTGATTGCCCCTAGCATTGTCTGCCTGAAAGTAAAACTCAGAAATCCCATAGCAAACTCTCTCAGACAGCATTCTGGAGGACATTTTTCCTCCCATTTGATGTTTCTCAAGATAACTTGCCATTGACACACATTTGCCCATGATTGAATCTGTGAGTTCAATTTTTTTAGTAAAGTAATCTGTGAGTTCTAACTTTAAAGCATTGTAACTGATCCAAAGAATGACTCTTCGTTTGTTGAATCATTAAATGGGATAAGAAGAATTCTAACTTGAATACGTTTCTTGTTGTCGAACTTGTAATGAGAAATAACGGGAGCAGTACAGCTGCCTCCTGATTCTTTCCCAATTATCATGTTGGCAAAATGACTTAAGACTTTTTAAATTAAAGCTTCAAAAATGAATAACTATATAGATGCTTAATTAGAAAACAAGAAACATTTCTAGTCTCAGGAACTGACATAGATAGGCGACACGGGGGTTGCTGGGTTCAACTTCATTGGCAACACGAAGAATAGGAGCAATCTCCGCTAGAGACGATGGCACCACTTCACTATCAATCATTGACTCCCCTATGTTCCCCATCGTCTGCGTCCGTGTTATCCGCCGCTGCAGCGACGGCTCAGGGCCCCCTCTTGACGCCATTATAATTAACTTTCACACCCTTATCTTCACTTAAAGGTCTGAATATAAATTCAACATGCGATCACATTAGTATCAGGTAAATAAAATTAAAAGCCTAAAAAATAACACAAGACAACTGATACAATATCAAGTGATTTTCACAGGCATTAAGTGAAAATGAGAACACTTAAGAAAACACAAGAACATACAGAAAAAACACACAATATACACAGACAACTTATACATACAAAAGAAGAAGAAAAATTACGGTAAAAGACACATCTTGAACATCTATTAACATCCGCACAAAACACAGTTTTACAGGTACATTAATATCAAAACACCCAAAAAATGTAACAAAAAAACACCCAGATACAGAAAAAAAAATTAAAATTTGCAAGAAGATTGAAGAAAGAGAGAACCGTAGATAGTGAGAGCTAGATGAGCATATACTATTCAGTAATAAGCAGAAAACACTAGGATTTATCAAAGTAAATGGGCATATACTCTTCAGTAATAAGCAGAAAACACTAGAATTTAACAAAGTAAAATAAGCTAAAGAGCTGCATTTACCATTGTTTGTTAGTTCAAGAAATAGTGATCAAGATTTTTAATAAATAAAAAAGATTACATTTTTACCATCACATTAGCATAAAACCAACCGGAAAAAAAAAACACCCACGTACAAAAAAAAGGTGAAAATTTGCATAAAGATTTAATTTTTACCAGCACATTAACATAAAACGAATAAAATGTACAGAAAACAAATACAGCCATATACCAAAAAGGTGAAAAAAAGCAAACAGCAGATAAACAACAGGATTTAGCTAGCTAAAGAGCTCCATTTACCATTGTTTGTACTGATCAAGATTTTAAAAAAATAAAAAGATTAAATTTTTACCAGCACAGCAGCAAAAAACCAACAAAATGTACAAAAAAACAAACACACCCACATACCAAAAAGGTAAAATTATGCATAAACATTCAAAAGAGAGAACAGTACATAGAAAGAGCAAGATGGGTAGTTAGAGTTCAGCAAAATAAGCAGATAACAAAAGGATTTAGCAAAGTAAAGCAAGCTAAAGAACTGCATTTTTACCATTAATTGTTAGTTCAAGAATGAGGAAATGCAAAAGGTGGAAAGTTGAAGAGAATGACCAAGACAAACCCTAGAGAGAGAGGGGGGGGTTTTGGGGAGGCTGAAACTTTAAGCTACTTAGCAAGAAAGAAAGCAAAAGTGTAAAAATGGTGATGAGAGAGAAGAGGGAATACAACAACAACCCCAGTATAATCGAATATGGTTGGGTAGTGAGAGTTGGGGGTGGGGTGGGGGTGGAGCCAACGTTAAAGTAAATCAAAATTTGGAGTTTATTGTGGAAAAGGGGGCATGGGGTTAGTGGGGGCCCTCTGTCAAGTATCGAGGTATGTTTATCAAAAAGTCCCTATGTTTTGGTTATATTACCCATGTGCCATTATCATTTGAATTTTTGTTGAAACCGTTTACATGACACTTTTTTTTTTTTAATGAAGCCCCGTTCTAAAACAAAAATGACACATTGCAAAATCGTTTTAGTTTTTTTTTAAGCTTTTAATATTGTCCTTAATGAAAACTTTTATAGTCATACAAATATTATAATATATTTATCCCACAAGTTTCAATTATATAAATATATATTATATTTAAGATTATAAATTTTAAATTTTTATTTGTTTCTTAAATTTTATAGCGAATTAAACTATATCATATAAATTGGAACGCAAAAAATATTATCTAAAAAAAGAAATAAATATACTATAAATTGATAAGTTGTGTGCTACTTTTTTGGTAATTATAGTAACGGCACTACTATTATCTCTATGAGGTTTAAAAAGAGTTCAATCTTTATATATATATATTTGTAACTACAATATAGCCTGTTGAAAATATTAGTAGTAGTGACTATTGTTTTCACTCGCCTTATTATGAAAAAGTATTACTACATTCTTTATGCTCCAGAGATTTTGTTTTTTAAAAAAAAAAAAAAAAGCAAAAAGTAACGTAATATCACCTAAGTTCTATATCAGTAAAATAATATAGAATGTACTTTCATCCAACATAATATGTTCATCCTCATATTATAGCTGTTTAATTCAAAACAAGAGTTTTTTTAAAGGGATAACGTCTCAATGAATAGCTAAAAACAGGGAATATGAAGCAATTTGAAGTTTCAAAATGTCATTTTGATTTCGGTAAAGTTTTAATTTACCGACATCTAAATTAATCATAGATTTGTCAAAACTAGCCAAACACATATAGAAATTGAAAACTCAAAGAAATAAGATTCTTTCTTTCCAAAAATCGCATACAAAGATCTTCTTCCATATTTTTAAGCGTGATTAGCAACATTAGANATATATATATATATATATACAAGATTCCAAAAATCTAAGTAAAAAAAGGATATTTTTCAATGGGTATGGTTGGCATTTATTGAAAACATATGCATGATTCAATATACAAATTTTGAGGAAGATTGGAGGTGATTTGGACTGAATTGGTATCAAAATTCGTAGTAAAAATCGAGTTCAAAAAGTTATTTTGCGACACATGTACCACGCATGTGTCCCACACGCATATATATATATATATANACACACATATATATATATATATATATATATATATATATATATATATGGATACACATTTGATACAAATATGATACATATCTGATACACCGTATGATGCACATATCATTTTTCATGTTCGTTTTCTACTTCGAATTTTCAATTCAAACCACCTCAAAACTCCACTAAATCATCCCAAAATTAAGATTTGAGCTCTTTGAGATGTACCCAATCCATTCTAAATAACATTCACTCAAAAGAAAGCAAAAGTTTAACTTTTTTGGCTACAAATAACTAATTAACTAATATTAATAATATTTTATGAATTGACCAATTTTTATATTAAGCTATTTATAAATGGACATAGCTGGTATTTTCTCATCATCAATAATTCGCTTCTCACTTCCAAACTAAATGACTCATACTATATAAGAATTATCTTTCCTGTTACAAGGCTAAGTTGTTACAATTTCACTTTATATATAGCCACCACTAAATAAAATAATTGATAAGAATTTCAATATTAAATCAAGCAACCACTTACTAAAAGGAAGAGTTTGGCAAAGAACTAGACGTAAAACAAACCATTATGAAAAAGAGAAGATAAAAGAAGGAAAAGCGTAGTATGAACCACTTTATTATAATCTTTGAGCAAAAAGAATAAAAGAAAAATCACTTTATTAAATTTATTAAGCTTTAATACTCTTATAAAGTCAAAAGTTGGGATTTTTTCCGACAATTCATATGGATGCATGTTCTACAAGCAATCTTTGCTAAGTCATCGTATATATCTTCAATTTTAGAAATTAAAGTGTTTTTACAAATTATTACCTTCTTCGTGGAATATATATATAAAATAAAAAAAAATTGTGTTTCTTACTTGATATTCAATTGTTGTATTAGCGAACCGACTAATTCAAATTCGCCACATAAGGCCTATTAAATGGTTCTTATCAAAAAAAAATTCTATACTCATAATTCGTACTCAATACATCTTATCAAGAGTGAAATTTTTTTATCCATTCGATTCATGAAATATATATTGACTACTTATAGTATTGGTTGAAATGTCTCTGTCAATCTTAGAATACGCAATAGAACTTAATCACATGGTTAACAGCGTTAACTTTGAGCTTCTTTTGTTTTATCCAAAGCTTATTTTCTTAATTATTTTTTTCTTCACTGTTTTTCTTCCTCCTTTATAAATGATTCATTCTAGTGTTACGTCTTGTACCAAAAAATAGTGGTTTCTGTTGGGGTTTTTTGTTATTTATAACAAAAGAGGTGTGAATGGAAATGGTGGGAAAAGAAATGGAGGGAATTGAAATTTTTAATTAGTTCACTTTACTAATGCACTTTGTCCCTCATTAGTAGAAGGAAAGAAAAATTTTGTGTATATATAGAGAAACTCATCTTTTAGCTCTTAAAGAGCTAAGAAGAAGGCAAGCCCCGCGATGTCGTCGCTCGGCTTCGGCTTAGGTCAAAGATTAATTGATTAATCTTTTTGGATAAATTTTTTAAAAAATATTTAATTAATTAACAAAAATTCAATCCAGAATAACCCATGATCCGCGACCCGGTTCGGTCCGGCCCGTTTTCTTTCCTGGATTATTTTAAATCCGTTTTAATTTTCCCGCAATATTTTTAACAGTTATGGCTATTCTGAAACGGTGTCAAACTTATTCCAACAGTTATGGCTGCTCTGAAAGATTACAAACCTTTTCAGAAACAGTACCATATTAGCTATAAATATTCCTTCAAATCCCAGAATATTTACTTATGAAATGTTTTGCTTATCTTCTTCTTCTTCTGCACAAAAATTCTAGTGTGTTTTACAGCTTTCGAGCGGTTCGTTGTTCATCTGCGTTTTTGGTACTGATACGCTGGTGAGTTAAATCGTTCTATCCTGGGAGGATATATTCCAGAAGCTCGGGTACTTGAGGGGAATAATTTTCTTAAGGACACACTGTGTATTCAGTGGGCTCGATTTGTTCCAATACTATTTTTCAGAATTTCTTTTGAAGTTACCATATTGTTTTCAGAACTTACTTCTACTAACTTTCTGCTTTTGTTTTCGGAAAGTTTTTTATTTTATTAATTTTACAGCAATACATATTTCAATAACAATCTTAAGGAAATTATTTTATTATATTTTGTATTCTGTTTGTGGAGATTAAAACATTTGTGGTTTTATACTCCGTATGAATTTACTATTCTGATTTGAAGATATAAAAACTTCATCAGAATATTGAGATTCAAAAAACGATTTGAAGAACATAAAAGCTTCATCGTTTTCTATGTAACAGTACATAAAACCTTCAGTTTTTACGTACCGTTTCTGAATATAGTATTGTTTACTATTATGATTTTTGCCATTAATTGAACTCTTCTGTTGTTGGCAGTGAGAAATGGCAATTGGTAATGGAAATTCTTCTGCGACTGTTGCTGCAACGACGATAGCCTCGTCAAGCCGCACTGATGTTCTTCCGACCGAGAAATCGAGGAAATTTTCTGGATCCAACTTCAAAGGATGGCAGCAAAGGGTGTTCTTCTAGCTTACCACACTTGGTATGTAAAAATTCACTAGTAAAGAGTCTCCAGTGCCTGCTGGGGATATGCCGGATAATGAAAAATTTATGATTGTTGAGGCATGAAAGCAGGCAGATTTTCTTTGCAAAGGCTATATCTTAAGCACTTTAGAGGATGACTTGTACAATGTGTACAATGCGATGAATACTTCGAAAGAATTATGGGACACACTTGCGATGAATACTTCGAAAGAATTATGGTACACACTTGAGAAGAAGTACAAGACAGAAGATGCATGCTTGAAGAAGTTTGTGGTTGCCAAGTTTCTAGACTATAAAATGATAGATAGCAAAACTGTGGGAACCCAAGTTCAGGAGCTTCAACTTATTTTTCACGACCTTGTTTGCTGAAGGTATGGTCGTGAATGAAGCATTTCAAGTAGCTACAATGATTGAAAAATTGCCTCATTCGTGGAGAGATTTCAAGAACTATCTTAAGCACAAGCGCAAAGAAATGAAGTTGGAAGATCTTGTGATACGTCTAAAGATTGAGGAAGACAATAAAACAACCGAGAAGAAGTCTCGTGGAAATTCAACGATCATGGGAGCTAATATCGTTGAGGAGACTGCTCCAAAAAGTAAGAAGAGGAAGAGGTCTTTTGGACAGACTAAGGAGCAAAACAAAAAGAAATTCAAGGGCAACTGCTGCAATTGTGGAAAAGTTGGTCACAAAAGCCATGGTTGTCGGCTCCCGAAAAAGGATAAGAAGAAGGAACAAGACAACATAGTAGAGAAGAATGATGACATTGATGATCTTTGTGCAATTCGGAATGTAACCTAGTTGGAAATTCGAATGAGTGGTGGATTGACTCTGGAGCCACTCAACATGTTTGTGCTGTCAAAGAAGCATTTGCGACTTATTCTACTGCCAGTCCCGAAGAAGAGATTTCCATGGAAAATAATGCAACAACCAAGATTGAAGGTTATGGGAAGATATTCCTGAAGATGACTTCCGGCAAGGTATTAATGCTCAACAACGTTCTTCATGTTCCTACTGTTAGGAAGAATTTAGTTTCTACTTCTTTACTAGAAAAGAATAGATTCAAATGTGTATTTGTTTCTGATAAAGTTATTGTAAGCAAGAATGAAA